TCATCCTCCTTGACTCTGGCGTAGTCTTTAGGGGTTTCGGGTTTAGGGTGTAGGCTTGAATGATGTCAGCGGCTGTGGTTTGACCCAAGTTCCAGGGATGGGAAGTTTAGGCTTAACCCTAGACTCGGGGTTGAGGGGTCGGAGTAATTGTAATACTACTGTTGATGATTTTAATTTAAGTCCTTAGCATTACCTTCGCGACCCTAAACTATGGGAATGATGGAAGATTCCCTATTAGGTGTAATGCAGGATTTATATCATCAACCGTATCCCCTGACAGTCGCTATTATGACTATCGTATGTCCTACTTGTTATACGGCCCCCTATACTAGGTTCTTGTTAAGGGAATTAGTTTAAGTTACCAGAAAAGTGCTTGTTGTTCTTGTTGGTGTAGTCGCGGCTGTTGCGACAGTGTTACATTGCAGCACGAAGCCTGTAAGCCAGAAGCCCCAGGTGCAAAGCTAGTATCATTTCCTGCGCCTGCTGGAAGTTCAAAACAAGCGTCCACGCCATCAGAAGTCGGATCACAGTCTCAGTCTCAACGTATTTATGGCTCTTTTGCTGTGAGTTTGACATAGTATCCGCAGGTGCTGAAGACAGATACACAGCTTTTGCGCCGAGTGGAGTGCTCCTCTTTCAGCAACAACCCCGATAGGCCCATTGTGGGAAGGGTTGCTTTTTTGGTGGACTGGGGCCTGGGGCCTAGGGTTGGCTCTAGATTGGGATCTGAAGACCGAACCAGAACGCAATGCCAAGTGTAGTGTACAATACCCAATCCTCGTGCCAATCACCGGTACCAGCACTGACCGGCAGAATTATGGACTCTCTGGACTTGAGCCTGCGGTTGTGGCGCTGGGGTCATGGATTCCTCTGTAAAAAATCTACAAGGGCTCCAAAACGATCCGTGTAGAGAATGTTCGGTCAAAGTGCTCCAGGCTCTTGTTTGCACACTTTCAGACCTCTCGTAGAACCCGTGCAAAAGCAGCGCCGGTGATCTCGGCATTGACCTGAGGCATCAGGGGTGTTGCAGCGGTGAAGATGGGCATCGTCCAGTGACTTGGTGATTGGCCCAGCCATCTGTCGGACCTCTTTAAAATTAGGGTTGCAGGGCTTCTTGTTTTTAGGGTGTGCAGGGTCTGAGGACCTTGCATTGTTTTGAAGACAGACGATTGAAGTCTGCAGTGCTCGCACCGGGAGGGCATGGGCCCAGAGAGGGAGTAGAAACGATCACTGCAGACAGTGTACAGGTAGGGTCTTCATCAGAGTTCTCTGGGTTCCTGGTGGCAGTTGTTTCGGTTGTTGAATTCGATGTAGGATCTTAGGAGCCACTTCCCGGCGCATCTCCAGACAAAGAGTTGAGGAACTGGGAGGAAGCCGAAAAGGTCTCGCCCTACACGCCTTTCGTCGCTGCAATCTCAGCTGCACCATCCAAGGACCGCTTTTCCAGCATACGAACCGCCAAACCGGTAGTATCAAGAAACCCTACACTTTAAACCCGAAAGCTGTAAACCATAGACACTATCAGAAAGTCCTTAGTGCCGTACGACGTACACGGCTTGCATGAGAGGCTCTGAGCCTTTCAGGGCGCCTGGTTCGGTGTTGTGGCTTTGGACTGGAGACCATTCGAGAGGTTTGGAGGATCTGGACTTGAGTCCGGCTGATAGGTTCGGGGTTTGGATATGATATAATACATAATATATATCATATTCTATTATAATATACTGTAATATAATATAATATTATATTATATATATAGGGGTTTGTTTCAGATGCTTAGGGCTTAGGGTTTCTGCCACGAATGCAGCAGCTCAGAAAACCAGGCGGGCATGTGCAAGTCTGTGCAAAAACGGGCTTTAGGCTGCAGGCTTAGCGTCTTGGAACTTGGCATGGCCGAGACTGTTGCAACAACACATGGATTCGCAGGCATTTGTCTTTCCTTCGCAGTTGCAAAGTTAAGCAAGAAAGGAAACAAGATCGGTGCCTCGTAGATGCACCCCTCAGCTTCCGTGAAGATGCTTGACTAAGAGTACGAGTCGTAGTGATGGCCACAAGCATGGTAAGCTTTGCCGGCAGACTTGCAATGTCATCGGGAGGGTATGTTACTGCTCCTGTTGTTGTTGAGGATAGTTTGCGGACTGTGAGGATTAGCAGGTTAGCTGTGAAGGTTAGCCCTTGTGGGCCAGGCGTAAGCTGATGGAGCCTACTGGCAACATATGAAATTCATGTAACGAGGGTTTAGGAACGAATCCCTGCAGCTGCCTAAACCCAAAACCCTAAACCTGAACGTAAGCGCGGACCTTCATCAGCCATGCCAGCCTTGTGCGAGTGTGTGAGTCGAAACCTGAACGTGGGTCTAGCACCTTTCGGTCGCGGGGTACAGACATCGGATTGCAAGCAGGACGCTGACTTCACATCAGTTTGTGCGGCTTGACTGCCTTGGGATAGTCGGGACCTTAAGGTCATCAGCTGTTTAGACGGCATGTCGGTGCCGGATCATTACTTAGGGGCTGAGTAGGTAACCTTTAACCTTTTGGGGCTTATATAAACCTATTATCATCCAAAAAGTTAACCGACCATTGGAGATCTCAGAATCTCAGACCGGCGACCGAGGTCTTCATGCAGAAAGTTCACCAGGTGGGCCAAGTCAACTGACACGGGATGACAGGCTTCCGTACCACCAACAGCATGCCCTTGTAGCCCTATCTAATTTACAGTATTATAATAGTTATATGTTTTTACCCCATAGGGATCCTATGCTCATGATTAAGGTCCCTTTTTATGATCGGATATGGCATGATGATTTGCAGGCCTACCCGGTCACTGGATCCGTTGCGACGGCTGCGGCTGCTCTTCTGGAGGGCAGCATTGTTTACGCTGCAGTGCCGGCAGAGTTCTTTCTTTCTGGGAGCACTGGGTTCTCAGACATGGCGGGCTTGAAGGTGAAGCTGTCCAAAATGGACTTGTTAAGCCCACCTGCATAAGGGGAGCATACAGCAGAATGAAACCCCAGTTCCGCCTAAATTGATTGAGTGTTGCACCTTGAAGCATGTTGTGGATTTCTCCTTTTTCAGCAATATCAAGGTCATTGAGCTCCCTTTGCTGATGCCAGGCAAGTCAGCAGCATGGTGCTTCGGAATCTGGTGAAGATGAGAAGCACGCACTAGCACCTGGTTGGCATTCCGGCTAACGGCATCGTCTATGGAGGTTCTCGTGGTTTGTCAGGTGCCTTTTTGCAGTTCTTCCACACGAGGTAAGACTGCTTTGCATCATCCTTCAAGCAGAGTCTTTCCGTCTAAACGATAAAGCCCGAACCAAAAATCCAAGGTCCGCATCGCCCACCCAAGTGGAGTTGCTTGGCAAAAGACAAAAAGCTTCGAGGCTGGTTTCGGTTTGCAAGACCGGCCTGGAAGTCCTTTTCTCACATCCCTTACGAAACATGTGCCTGCGGTATAGGGGCAGTGTTTGGAAGTGTGGATGTGTGAGTTGGATGGTATTCATAGTAAACTGTGTGTGGGTTGTTGTTTGGAATGCTGTCGAACTCCTACATGAGACAGGGTGGTCACCTTTCCAGCTCCTTAGGGATCTGAAGCAGGATTCCCAATTTAGGCTCCAGCTCAATCTGGGTGCTGCGAGTGGGTGGTTGCAGCTGTTGAGTTACTTCAAGCCCACCCAGGTCATGGACGTCCATGCGGCTGTGCGCACTGGAACGGAGCCCTCTTTACTCAAAGCTGCGCTGCGGCGCACCGCGCGGTGCCTCATGGATGGGCAGGCAGGAGCTCCTCTCTCTCGAGAAGCAGAGTATTACAGTCTGTTAACCTTTTTTTGGGGGTACTATAACCCCTACTATACTTTTTACTGGACACTATATACTGGACATGTTGGTCTCTTCCGCGAACAGATGCCTCGTCATGCTGTGCAGTTGTTCTTTCCTGGGATTCTTTATCCCCGATGTTGCCATGCCTGTCCGGGCTAGTCCAAAGCCATTCACGGCCTAACTCTCTTGCAAGGCCTACGTGCCCTGGACCGTTTGGCCGGCAGACTGATGGCCGCTGCGTGTAGCCCTGCGTCCGGCTTGGAAAAGCTGTGGGTAGAAGCAGGTACTTACCAATACTTGTCTCTATAGAGTCCCCTACACTATGTTGATAGTAAAAGATACATTGAACGCATACTATGATTATCTAGGCCCCTGTTTTGGCTCAGCCAATCGCCCTGGACCGTTAAATCTGCACACCACGATGCCCACAACTCCAACTGGATTCCACACCCCCTGTCTTCGCCCTCTTCCTGTGCCTCCAACTGCATGAGAACATCTGCAATGCGGGCTCGGCGATTTGGAGAAGCAGGATGGGAATTTGGGGTGATATTGGATATTATCTACGGTAACGATGTGACAAAGCTTTTCGGCTTGCAGACTTCTAGTGCACGGTGTAGTTGTGAACTCCAGAGTGCACTGTGCCAACCTGTCCGCGAACGCAGCCATGGCGGGCAAGGAGGCAGAGGCAGTAGCAGCGATCGCAGAGAAGTGTTGGCCCCAGCTCTGGTCTTCGGACGGCCTGAGGGGCTGGTTAGGTAACTAACCGCTAACACCTTTGGGCATGAATGTCCTGAATCTAGTCCTATCATAATGAAGCGCTATACCTTAGATTGTTGAGATTGTGCACTCAGCCCCTAAGTGGTGGCTATGTGAGCGGGCAAGAAGCTCGTACATCGCAAGTGTCTCAAGAACCTGCTGATGCTCGAACTGTGTCCGACATCTTTCAGTTCCTAACTAGAACAGAGCGGCATTCTATACATCATAACACATACGAGAATACTACAGTACATAGTTGTGTGTGTGTGTTTATACACACATGCATACATACATACATACATACATACATACATACATGTGTATATATATATAAGTGTGTGTGTGTGTGTAGATTGCAATATGCTACAATATGCCATAGTATTGCTACATGTTTCTACAATCAAGTGGCATTTCAAAAAGAGCCACCCAGGAACGCGCAGAAGGCGGCACCCATCAGCACCGAGGACGTCGAGCCTTTGGATCCTGAACACGGCTTCAAGGCTTCTTGGTGCAATGTAGAAGCAGGTTTAGGGTTTGAGGTTTGTGGTTTAGGGTAGCTTCTTGGTGTAAAGCCAGGGGCTACTATAAGAGCTAAACTATGTGGGCACTATTAGGATACTATTGCGGTTACTACAGTAGCATTTATACGGCATCAAGGCTGCTTGGTGTAATGTAGAAGAGACGGTTTAGGGTTTAAGGCTTTCAGGTTATACAGAAGCCTGAACCATTACCATATGGGTTACTACATGGGATATTGCATGGGCTCTTGGTGCAATGCAACCGTAGGGCTTTAAGATTTGGGGTTTCCAGGCTTCAGGGTGCAGAGTTGTCGGATTTAGAGGTCTACCTAATGTCGAAGCCTGAAGACGTTGTTCTTAGTTCTTGAGGAGTTGGACTTCAGGGTTTCCAAGCTGGGCCTAAATCCTAAGCCCTAAAATCCTAGGCCCTAACAGAAAAAAGCCCTACTTGCGGCGCCCATTGTCATGCCAAGGCCGCACGAGCCGCTGCCGCCCAAATCCACGAGCTCCTGGATAAGTTGAAGGACCTGGAGCCGCTGCAAACTCTAGTAATCATTGATAAAAAAATACTAAGGAAAAGAAGAATGATACTAATAAGAATAGTAATGATAATAATATTAGGAGTCAGAGTAGTAATAGTAATAATCTGTTGGACCATTTAGTCTTGGACAGTTTTCTCTGCAGGTGTCCAGCAGCCTGGATTAGGGCCTAGATAGGCCTCCCGGAATGGCTTGAGATTGTTGTCACCCTCCATATCAAACGACATCCTTGTCTTACATACAGCCTGTATCCCAACCATTCCCGAATCTCAGTTTCTACCCAAAACTTACCACAATGGTTTCACAAGGCAGCGACCAGGATTGAGCACTGCACAGTGCGGGACTGTCCGTGACCTTTACATGTTCGATGTTTGGCTGGGATGTGTTGTTATTGTCCTTCCTTCTTTCGAATTTCTTCCTTCCTGCCTTCCTTGCTTTCTTCCTCTGTCCACTGTTTATCGTGCTTTCTTGCCTGACTCGCAGAAAGCGAAGCAAGCTACCGCCGAGCAAGATGGCTTCGACGTGCATTACCCAGTTGCAGGGCGCTTTCGTGGTGTCATCATAGTCGTAGGTAGTGGTAGGGGCAGCAGCAGCAGCAGCAGCTGCAGTAGTAGTAGTAGTAGTAGTAGTAGGAGGAGTAGCAGGAGGAGTAGTAGTAGTAGTAGTAGCAGCAGCAGCAGTAGTAGTAGTAACAGCAGCAGCAGCAGCAGAAATAGTGGGAGAGTTCATCCCTTTCGCTAGTTTCTCCAGATGCCTTCTATGATGCTCTGGCTCGAGGCTCATCAGTTGTAAGTAGTGCCAGCACTGTTTTGTCAGTCCAAGGCCTGCAGTGTGGACTTGCAGAAACAGCTCCTGAGCTTGAGGCTCCATCAGCGCATGTAGGTTTCGTTTGAGGTTTAGGGCCTAGGGTGAACGGTTCAGGGCTGAAGGTCACAGAGTAGCTTGTGGGGTCCAATATGCCGCATTGCAAGATTCAGGATCGGAAATATGTGCTCAGTGAGTTGGGGCCTGGGCTTCAGTTCGGGAGGAGGTTCAAAATCGTTGGGACCAGCCCGCATTGGCTTCATAGGCAAGCAACTTCTCGGGTTGACTCTCTGTGGTGAATGCCGATCCTGTGTAGATGTTGATACCACTTGGTAATTTAATAGTTGGTATCATTGCTGCCGCAACGACAACCACCACCGCTGCTCTCTCTGCATCTGCCGCTGCTGCATCTGCCGCTGCTATCCATCATGCCACTGCTGCACGCTGTTGCTGTAGCTGTCTTTACTACTACAAACACTGCTACTACGAAAACGGCGGCCACTATGGAGCTGCTGTACTACTATCACCACCACTCCTCCTCCTCCTGCTGCTGCTACGATGACGACGACTACTACTGCTACTGCTACTGCTACTCCTGATGCTACTACTACAAATGCTACTACTACTACTACTACTACTACTGCTACTACTACGACGACTACGACTACGACTACGACGACGACGACGACGACTACTACTACGACGACGACGATCGATTCGTCAACTCTTACAGGGACTGCTGACGGCATCGTTGTTGTTATGACCGCCGTTGCTGCTATCACAACTGTTGAAGGCAAAGGGCGGCAGCGTCCATGTTTGAGGATCCAACCTTCGGGAGCTTAGGATGTCGCATCTGTGCAACAGGGCCTCAGCGAAATGGTTTGCCGATGGACTGCCGGCAGAGCCATCAGTTGAAGTCAAACACTTCAGGAATCTAGACGAAGTCGGGAAGGGCATGGGTTCAAGCAGGCGCGCGCACAGAGCCATGATCAAATTCTCAGCAGCTTGGCTTGGTCCAGGATGCCTCAGGTTTCGGGGTGACGGGACCTTGAAGTTCGGAGAGCTTTAAAATCTGCCAGGGCCTTGATTCTCAACCTCGACACAGCCAACAGCAATGCAGTCCGTTCTCGAAGCACGCCGCGCCGACAGCAACGCCTCAACCGACTTCCTTTTCTGTGGCGATGATCTTGCCTCAACGCGGGATGTTTCAACTTGAGACCGGCGCAAGCACCGTCTCTTGAACAAAGCCGCTTCATACAGGCGAACAGCAAGCATCAGCAAGCGCAAGCACTCGTGCAGGTATGTAATGATTTGTAAGGAGTTGTCAGTATGTCGTAGTCGGACTGCCATCTTGGCAAGATCAGCCCCTGGAAGTTTCTTGAGTCGAAAAAATGCAAGACTGCAAGACTTTTGCAGGTCCTGGAACAGGCTGAAATATGAAGCCCCTTATAAGTCAAGATATCTTCCTTAATTAACTAGCCTAGCCTGAAAGCACAGGTTCTGTGAGCTCCAAACTCTAGGCTCTAGGAGACCCCACGAGACCCTACCCAGCACGAGGCGCAACAAAGGGGTGCATTTATAGACCTACATATATAGATAAACGGAGTATGTAAATAGTTATATATATATATGTATATATATATGTACATACATATACATATATATATGTGTGTGTGTGTGTCACACACACTTGTATATTTATATATATATATACATACATATTATGTAGACACATAGCCCTGACCCTTGTATCTGGTGGTTCATTCCTTTCATGAAGATTGTCCTGGCTGAGGAAACTCGGCGATTGGCAGAGGTCGCCGCCCGGAAGCTCACAGAAACTGGGCAGCGGAATATGCGGATTCCAGGGTTCAGGGTGTAGGGTTTCTAGGGTAGTTTTTTGTACTGTTTTTTGTTTAAGTGCTTTGGGTTCAAGGATTAAGTTCGAAGGCTTACAGTTCGGCCGGGATGTGATCAGTCATCACGTATTAGTAGTTCGTATGGCTACAATTAAAATTCCAACACGTGCTTTAGAGCATCTTCCTGTCAAGGGAAGCGGCCGCAGCTCATCAGTCAAAAAGGCATTGAAAGTTCGATACCGGTAGCTACAAATAGCTACAAGCAGGGCAGGAACTTGTCGAAAAGACAGGCACAAACCTTGTGGGCCTCAGGTGTGACGTCGCATCCCTGTAGGGTTTTAGGGTTAAGGGTCTAAAATGAAAATGATCGGAACGCATCAGCTGTGAATCGCAGTAATGCCAACCCTGACACCTGCTAGCGCTTAGCGTTCACCCTCGTGAAACCTTTGAACTGTTACCCTCATTGCTCATATTTCTCGGCCGGGGGTCAAGTCATCTTCGAATGTGCATACAAAAGCGCATCATGAAGATGAAAGGGTCTACCATGTACAGGGCTTCGTAGCTCAAGACAAAGTCGATGCCATCTGTGCTTAGTCACGGCGTTCAACGCCTTCCCCCCTCAGAGTTCGCAAACACAATAGACCGAGAGCCCCGAAGCCTCCAAGGGGTTCCGGGTCAAGCTCCCTTATCACAGGAGACGGAGTATACAAACATGCAGACGCGGAAGTACGAGAGCCTCTATGCTCAATTGAGAGCCTGCCGGGAATGTCTATAGGCAGAAGCTCGGGTTTAGGGATTAGGGTTTGGGGAGCACAGTTATCAAGTCTTTGCCTGTTCAGATCTCTCATGAAGCTTAAACGTGAAGCTCTGACATCCTGGATCGGCACAATTCCATGGTTGTAACTGTTTTTCAGGTGCAGCAAAAGAAGCGGCCTTCACACAAATATCGCTCATCGTTGAAGTGAGTCTAGCTGTTAGTTTAGCTCCGATGCTGCCCAGGTGCCGTATGCCGAATGGCTGCTGGCAGGCCTGCGTCCGAAACGATAGTGGCGGTTTAGCACGGCAGATAACCATGAAGCCCTTCGTGGTAGATCATGCATAGCCCAGCACCTTTTCCAAGAAAGTCTCCAAGCCTACACCAGTTTGAGCCTACTGACCTCTGAATCAGTGATTCGAAACCTAGGAAGCAGCACTCCTGACCCTAAGCTTTACCATCTCGCTTCGTGAAAGCTGGCATCAGACCGCAGGTGCCGGTATTTTCCGACTCCTGACTTGGACAAGCTGCGCCCTCTCATCGACGGCTTTCAGGTGGGGACAAAGTGACCTCATTGTTGGAACACTCGATCCGTGAGTAGTAAAGTCATGTAATTCCCCTTTCTGCACGGACGCTACTGGTTGTGGGGTTCCCACAGTGGCCTATATTACATGTGCCATGTTGTCGCTAGTGTGACTTTCGTTGCAAGGGCCATACTGGTAGTGGGATTCAGGGGCCTACATTGTATTTGCCATGGTGTTGCTAGTGTGACTTTCGTGGCATGCGAGCAAGAGAAGAAACTCTTGCTGTGGTTTCCATCGGGAGGGACACCGATTGCTACTATGTCAAGTGAAGCATTCTCCAGAACTTGGCGACTTCGTGGAGGCAAAGTTGCATACAAACACACTGCACAAATGTGGCAACGCCGGGTATGCGATGCGCAAGACACAGCTCTGGCTTTCTATTCTGCATTTCACACGTACTACACACACGTATATATGTGTGTATATGCCAATTTGTGCGGCCTGTTGTCTCCTGGCACAGGCCAAAGAAGACGATGAGAAGGTTCCCGAGGCAGAGACCTGGCTCCAAATCTTCCGGTAAGGCGGGTGGAGCATTTCTACAGGTTGAGAGTGTCATTAACGGGCCTATGGCTTTAGGGGGCTGGGGCCTGTAGTTTGCATGCGCCCATAAGCCTGCGATCTCAGGGCTCTATGGGGAACATGCCGTGTTGTCGGTCCTCCCTAGGCTCGTTGCCCAGAGCCCCAGAAATAAGTGCAACCCCTCCGCCTCAAAAACAAAACTCTGATTGCGATTAGATACTTGGTCGACTGCCTTCGTTAGTGCAATGCTACAGTTGTCTACAGGTGTGAGTGACTTTGTCTTCGGAACCGCTCTACTTGGGAAGGCGATAAGAGCACCGCTTAAAACGAGATCAAGCACGTTTATGACACGGTCCAGTTCTATCTGCACTCCATCGAAGTCGCGATTTTCTGCCGGTACTAACATGATTGAACGGCTTAGGGGCGCCGCTACGAATCATCTCCTCCAGCCCATGATACGAAAAACATCCCTGCTCTCTCCTCTCTCTCTCTCTCTCACTATCTCTGTCTGTCTCACACACACATGTGTATATATATATGTATATATATATATATACATATATGTGTAAATATATATATATATGCGGATGCACACACACACACACACGCACGCACACACACATACACATACATATACATACATACATACATACATACATACATACATACATACATACATACATACATACATACATATATGTGTGTGTATACATACATACATGCATGCATGCATGCATACATACATGCATATATATATATACGTATGTTAAGATATGCATGCATCACAGACTTTTAACACAACATCTCTTGCATATACATATACATGTACACTTACACACACAAATACATATACAGGTACATACAGACATACATACATACATACATACATACATACCTACATGAATACACGTACATACATGTACATGCATGTACTTACGATACATATATGAGCATCCGTCAAAACTTCCGCACTTGTAGTTAAAGAGTAGGGTGATCGTGGAATGTCAGATTTGGCCAAATCCCTCGAAAAGCGATTGGACCCCGCCCGAAAAATGCGATACGGTCAACGAAGATTATCTGCTGTGACACTTCAGAGCTGCGACAGTTGTGCCTAAACTTTTCGTATCACATGTGGCTAGGCAACCGATACCCGAATCGATATCCAACAGATCGTTTTACGCGCCACTGCCCCATCTGATAGGATCATCATTGCTACTGTTGATCTCACT